ACTGGGGGCCCGCCGGCCGCTGGATACGGAGCTATCCAGCGGCCGGCAACTGTGCTGGACCCCCCCAAAGACTGAGAACCCGGTGCTCCCGCACGGGCCGCAGTTCCGCCACTGTGTCTATACATCAACCTTTCAATCCAGTAGGAAATTGTGATAGTAGATAGGGTAATTCAAGTAATCAAAGACACTTCAGTGTCTCTGGATTAACTCTTGATACTGGATTGAAAGATTCATGCATAAACATGTACAGTCTCTTATGTATTAATTCTCAGATGTTTAAGGATTGACCATGCCTTTAGACTTTTTAGTGTGAAAGTGACCCAAATGTGGGTTGCAACCCCATGTTCAGTGGGTCCCAGCGTGCCTTCCACTGTTCTAGGTGAGATGCTCCTCAGCCTCCCACTAGCGCAGCACTGTCAGTTCTCGTACGGAGCAGCCATTCAAAATATGCTGCCCGGTGCCGAGTGTCAGCTTGAGGTGGGGTGGGCTGGGGGTATGGCCACGAGGGAGCTCCACCCATATGTGCATTGCTTACAGCTCCCTCACGTGACCTGTAGAGGTGCCTAGACTGTCATGACGTCACACTCTTGCTCCCGACACCTCTACAGGGAGCGTAAGGGAGCTGTACAAGAAATGCACATATGGATGGAGCTCTGTCACAGCACAGCAGCCCAGACTGGACCTCAAGCTGAGGATCCACTACAGTTCTGGTAAGGTAGTGGGATGGGGTGGATCTTATAACAAAAATTTTGTGTGTATATGTGCGTGTGAGATTGTGTCTGTGGTTGTGTGTGTCTGTGGTTGTGTGTGTCTGTCAGTGTTTTTGAGGGCCCTTTCACACCAGTACAGTGTGTCAATAGCACAGTTACGTGCAATTATTGCAATGTACCACGCAATGGCACCTACCGCGCATTCATTTGAAGGCACCCCAAATGCACTTCCTGCCCACAGTTCGATCGCCCGCACGGAACCCGACTTGGGTCATGACATAATGACTAAGTGCAAATGTGGGTCCGGAGGTTACACAGGTTGAGAACCAATGATTTCGGATATATAGTGAGTGTAGTTGAGTGGGAAATGGAATACAGGTGAAACTCGAATAATTAGAATATCGTGCAAAGTTCATTTATTTCACTAATGCAACTTAAAAGGTGAAACTAATATATGAGATAGACTCATTACATGCAAAGCAAGATAGTTCAAGCCGTGATTTGTCATAATTGTGATGATTATGGCTTACAGCTCATGAAAACCCCAAGAACCCCAAGAACCCCAAATCCACAATCTCAAAAAAGTAGATTATTACATGCAATCAATAAAACAAGGATTGTACATAGAACAATATCGGACCTCTGAAAAGTACAAGCATGCATATGTACTCAGTACTTGGTTTGGGCCCCTTTTGCAGCACTTACTGCAATTACTTTTGCACAATATTCTAATTATTCGAGTTTCACCTGTAGATGTTAGAGAAAATGGGGATTAGGGCCTCCTTGAGGTTGGTGGAATATTCCCATTTTCAAAAGTAGCTAAGGCTGAAGGGATTCAAAGAAGGCAGTGATCTCTATCTTTAATTACTCTCTCAGATAGAGGCACAATCCGGAAAGGGTAAAGGAGTTACTTGTGTTCAATCTCACAATTTGTATTGTTATAGTGCATTAACTTGTTTCTTCTTACTGCAGGGAACTTGGTCGATTATTTGAAAACAACACAAGGCCTCAAACTAAATGTATATAAACTTATAGACATGTCAGCTCAGGTAAGAAAGTGAGCCTCAAAAGCATAAAACTTGAGAGGCAACATAAAATATCAAAATGAACAAAGAACAATATAATGACCTAATGTGATGATATATCTTTTATTTTCAAAACCTTCAGTGGATTTAAAATAGTGAATTGAAAGTGCTTACCTTGTTTCTACTATTTCCTACATCAATAGGTGGCAGAAGGAATGTCATTCCTGGAACGCAAAAATTACATCCACCGTGATCTGCGGGGAGCTAACATCCTGGTATCAGAGACCCTGTGTTGCAAAATTGCAGATTTTGGGTTAGCTCGTATAATAGAGGACAATGAGTACACAGCCAGAGAAGGTACATGTTTGCATTCTAAGAAAGCAAGAAATGAATCCAATAAAATATTGTTAAGCACAGCATTGCCTCTTTAAGGGTTTGTACATATTGGATGCAGATGTGTATCCAGCACACTTGGATTCTAATGAAATTGTTAAGCTATGCCATGTTGGTGTGGAGCTCCCTTGGGAGAGCAGTGAACACGAAAAGGTCTACAAACTCAAACACTCATCAGATGCACTAAACCATCTATAGGTGGATGTGATGAGTTAAATGCACTGCTACGTTTTCATGAATTTCTGGCAGTCCAGCTCAGTACACCCTGTAGGACCCAGTGTCTAGGGTTGCTTGACAGGTGTAGTAAATATCTGCTGGCTTCCCCCTTTTAAGACCTACTGTATGTGTACAAGTCCATGAGCTTTGAAAGCCAAACAACTCCAAACTGGAGTATTTTGAACTAACACTTCAAGCTGCTGTGACCATTATCAAAGATTTTTTTTCCAAAGAATTATTATAATAGATCTGAACCCAATTTTATTTATTTTGTTATTTATTTATTTTTATTTCTTTTGTTCATTAAATTAAAGTGTTTTCCTATACTTTTGTCAAATTAACATGCGAAGGCATAGAGAGAAGAATCAGTATATTGATTAGCATGATAATAATGTTATAATGTTAATAATGTTGATATTGAAATGTATTGAATGACTTGTGCTATATATGTTGTTTTTCCCTTTGCAACAAAATGTTCTCTTATAGCAATGGAAAACTAATAAAAAAACATTGAAATCAATCACTAACATTTCATATAAGCTTTTTACCTGCTCTTGTAATTTCATTTTTTTTTCAAATATGCTTTTATTAAAAGGATACCTGTTGATCCTACCAGGCACTTTGTGTTATATGGTAACAGCTTTCTCCCTATGTTGCTCTTGTGTTGTCACTCTGTCACATGCACACCTGATACAGACTACAAGTGGCCAAGCTAATACACACTGTGCAGTTATGGTGCACCATTACCACAATCAATCAGAGCTCCAGCTGACACTGAAGCGAGTGCCTTTAGACAAGAATTGGCTCAAAGAGGACGCAGGAGATCAACAGCACTGAGATGCAAAGGGGATGGTAAAGGGTAAAAACAATACTTAATGGGGAAAACAATTGTGGTTGTTTATCATATGTAGTGCTTTAGCAAACTTAATACTACCTGTTTATCAATGTTTTCACCCAAGATTCACACTTTTTCTGATCAAATCTTATGTGAAGGTTATGTGAATCAAAAACAAAATTGTGTGAATCTTAAATAAAAACATTAATATTAATAGACCCCTAGATGTCATTTGGTCTAGGTTTACAGCTACTTTAAAGACAAAAACATAACACAGAAATTGAATACTAAATAGATAACCTTTCTAGTACACCTGCTATAAATCAACCATTGTTAACGCACTAGATTGGTGCTAAAGGCACTGTGATCTTGCACCTCTTATACGTCTGTGGATGATGTGAAATGTGGAAGGGACAATACAACCACAACTCATGGTGGGGGTAGGATGGGCTGGAATTCTTCATGGAAGGTAAACATTGATTTTTTTTCTTTTTATTAAAAGATTTAAAAAAGCAGGCAGGGTATTTCACATTATCTTAACCCAGGCGGATTAACTACTATAAACATCATATCAACACGGAATTGTCAAATTGTGATTCCTCATCAGTGACATTTGGTCCCTGGAATGCTATTTATTTTTTTAAAGAACTATCATGCATGAAATGTAATGGAGAGGTGTATGTCCATAGAAATAACTAGGGACAATTTGTTAGAGCACTGATTTGTTCAATAGATCTGGTGTTCTTCTTAGTTTACTAATCATTTCTTTTGACCTGCAGGTGCCAAATTTCCCATAAAGTGGACAGCTCCAGAAGCAATAAATTATGGGACATTTACAATTAAGTCAGATGTATGGTCATTTGGTGTCCTTCTGACTGAAATCATCACATATGGGCGCATTCCATATCCTGGTAAGTAGCAAGATGAAAAACATTTCTTGGCGTAATTCTTTTAGGGCAACATTATACTAGTCTGCATGCCAGCTTTATCTTATTTATTGTGTCCACAGAAGATCTTGAAGAGCATGAAAAGCCAAGGGCTTTCCTGCTCTGATAGTGACAGCTGTCAGCAGGTACTTAGGGATAGTGCTTCATTCACCTTGATGTGAATGAGGGTACAATAGGGCACACCATATGTCAAAATAGGTCCACAGATCAGTGGGCCAAAAATGCCAAAACTGTATTCTCTGCACCAGTGCTGACATGCAGTATGCCCTGCAATAACCTTCCTATATCACAAATGAATTGCTGTCAGAATCAGCTCATGAACTGCAATCTCCTCACCTTTCTAAGGGGTTACTGTCATGTTCATTTCAACATGGCTAGTAGTAGATTAGCATGCCAGTTAAATGAGTATTGAAATTTGTGCTTCTCTTATAGGTATGACAAATCCTGAAGTGATAGATTATCTTGAGCGTGGATATCGCATGCCACAGCCTGACCAATGCCCAAAGGAACTTTATGAGTTAATGGTTCGGTGCTGGAACGAACGTCCTGAAGAAAGGCCCACCTTTGAATTCCTTCGCTGTTACCTTGAAGACTTCTTCACAGCTACAGAGGGCCAGTATCAAGCACAGCCTTAACAAAGCATCCTTTAACAAGCAGAAACAAGCACTGCGGAAAAAAGTGTCGACGATTTCAGAAAGCACCTATAGCATCAAAGCTTTGAAGAGTATGGCCAATAATAATTCAGGTTAAAGTGAATCTGTGTGTGCATTCAATAATGTTTAAGGCTGGGTTTACAGTGTTGTGGTGCATTGGCACACTCTTGTTAATGCACATTGCTTCAAGGCAGCCCAATCAGCAAAATGTGCTGCCTAACGCACTAAAAAAGGTGCTTGCACTATGTGCTGTAACACAGAGCACAGCAACACAAAACAGTGCCTTACCATGCATTACTATGCTCTGCGTGTGATAGTAAGGTGTGTTGGGATGCCATTAAGACTAAATGGCACCGCATAGCACCAACTCGCAATGTGCATTTTTGCACATTGCAGTAACACATGCATTAACATGTAGTTTACCATAGTGGAATGTTGTGAATCCAGCCTTAAATTTCTGGCTGATCAGTATGCTCCATAACATGCCTTTCCATACTTGTGGCTTCTCTGTAAATTCATTCTTAAGCTGGCCATACACCTATAGATTATATGCAGATTTTCTATGGTCAGATGGAAAAAGTGCAACAGATTCCTCCATCTACACTAAACTGTGTGTATGTAGGAATCTCCACCTGGGCCAATCTTCAGTATCTTGCTAGTCGGCCACGCTGGCTCTCAAAATACCTGAACAGTCTGATTGGATGCAGGCATTGTTCAGGTGTTTTGAGAGCCAGCGTGGCCGACTAGCAAGATACTGAAGATTGGCCCAGGTGGAGATTCCTACATACACACAGTTTAGTGTAGATGGAGGAATCTGTTGCACTTTTTCCATCTGACAATAGAAAATCTGCTGAAAATCTATAGGTGTATGGCCAGCTTTATAGTTTTGCTGGAACCTCCAAACCATGTTGACTTTAAGGCTATAGGGAGAGAGGGCATTTGTCTTTCCAAAACCATTGCTTGGTGCCTTAGTGACCTATCACTAGTCCCACATGCTGACATATGCTAAATATCAACTTTTAGAAAGTCTGTATTTGCAAAGGGCCTTCCTGGACCTCTTGTGGCATATAAGAGAAAAGGTTATAAGTATTTACCTCAGGGTACCTATTATGTAACCTTACATTTGAAACATTTTGGAAATGAAGGTATACTTTAAGGAACAGAAGAAAAGGCTCAATATCACCAAATTATAAGACTTAGCCCTGGTTCACACCTAGGCGTATTGCATATGCGCGTCTGTCGCGCGGGTTTTTTACCGCGATTCGTGGTACAAAAATCACGCGACAAACACGCGTTTCCGAGGGCTACTTGGCTGTATCCCAATGGAAACGCGCAACAAAAACGGCCCAAAGTAGTACATGTACCTTTTCAGGCGTGGGCCGTTTTGTAGCGCGTTAGGGACGGGCGGAAATACGCCAAGGTGTGAACCAGACCCATTGAATACAATGGGATTTAGATGTTTGAGCGTTTTGTAGAGCGTTCGTCGAGCGTAGAATGCGCTACAAAACGTTCAGGTGTGAACGAGGGCTAAACATGTAACAGCTTCTCATTACTTGTTGCTTTATGAAAAGATTACTTACTATACTGAACTTTTCAATGAATCAAAAAGACATAACAAGCATATATAGATGTCAAATATTACTTACCTGTACATTGTATTAAAAACTAAAATAAAAAAAAACAATGGCACAATTTTGTTTCTTAACACCAGTATGAACAAAACATTTTAGGTAAATGCATGAGATGCTGGATGTATGCTGTGCAATGGTTGTTCAAGTGAATGGAATATGGAGGCTGCCTTCATTCTACAAGGACTGCTTTCTGAATCACTGCCCAGGAATGAGCAAGTCAGAACGTCTAATTTGCATACTGTCTTATCTGCATAGTCCGGAAGTCAAAGTATTGAGACCAAAGGTGCAGTATAACAGCCAGTCAGTTACCACAAACAAAACGCCTGCTGTTGAAACCCTAGGACCAAGGGGCCTTTTTATACAGAGTGTCATGGTGCGGCCATAAAATTATTATATTTTTTGCCCTCTTGTCATAAGACATCCTGAAAAGTCAGTTCATTTCTTTCAGTGAATGCTATCTCGAAGCTAACAAAATTTACATGTAAACTTGTTAGCTAGAAAGTGTTAATTAAGCCAAATGTGGGTTTGTTGTGCTCCCCCAGCAAGCCCTATTTTTTGGGTTTGCAGTGGAACTGAACACAGGCAAAGGTTTGCCACGCATCCGATCACACTGCGGGCGTCTCAGGGGGGCTCTGCAGGATCTGTGAGGGGCTCTGCAGGGTCTCAGGGGGGCTTTGCAGGATCTGTGGTGGGCTCTATGGTGGGCAGGGCCCACCACAGACCCTGCCCACCATAGACCCAGTAGAGCCCACCACAGATCCTGTGCAACCCCCCTGAGACCCTGCAGAGCCCCTCACAGATCCTGCACAGCCCCCCTGAGACCCTCCATAGACCCCGCAGAGCCCCACCAAGACCCTGCAAAGCCCCCCTGAGACCCTGCAGAGCAGTTTGCAGGGTCTCAGTGGGGGCTGTGCAGGATCTGTGGTGGGCTCCGCGGGGTCTATGACAGAGACCACCACAGAACCTGCACAGTCCCCCTGAGATCCTGCAGATTTAGTGTGGGGGTGCCCGAGGTTCGTCTTGCCTATGGCAACCCCAAACCAGAATACACCACTGCCTACCCGATCTGTCTATCTCCTACTCCGCCTTTAGTTAATTCCTGAAAACTCATCTCTTCAAGGAAGCCTATCCTGCCTGCTCCTAAAAACTGTACTTTACTTCCTCCATCAGCTAATTCCTCACAGTTATTAACTTTGGTATCACTTGCCCATTCTTTTAGATTGGAAGAACTTATGAGCAGGATCCTTCTGATCCCCCTGTATTGAATTTTATTGTAACTGTTCTGTCTGCCTTTATTTTCCAAAGTGTCACTCAAACTGGTGAAGCTATATAAAATAATAATCAGCTCCTTTTTGTTTCTAAAGAACTTTTAAAACACTTTCAACTTGCCTTAACATCTGGTGTAAAGTGGTTGTCTGTTTAAAGTCCACCTTCTGACCTAATTATATTCATCTTTACTGCGTTCCTCTACCACACTTTTATCCTTTGCAGCTGTCGCAAACTACTTGGCGTACGCTCCATGGTGAATAGTTTCGGAGCGTGCACAGGATTATTGTGTTTTAAAAAACTTTTTATGCAAATGTTTTGGTGCATATATTTGCATATACACATTAATTTATTGTCCCCTTTGCTGCAAACAGCCTGCTCTCCATACTAACTGTATCCATATTCAGCCAAAAAAAACATTGTTTTTGAGCCTTCTATTACTACTGAACTGAATATATGCTCCCTTGAGAAGAGGCGGTTCAGGGGGAAATGATCACCTTGTATAAATACATAAATGATCCATATAGTGGACTCTTTGTGCCTGGAGGAAAAGGGGTTTAACCTTCGTATACAGAAAGACTTCTTCAAAGTAGGAGCCATAAAAATGTATAATAGACTTCCACAGTACCTAGTTTTCAGCCAACTCTGCAGCTGCTTTCGAAAAAAAGTATTTTCCTGAATGCCCTAGCTATAACTTACTAATAATAATTTTAAGTGTTAACACTCTAGGTTGTTGATCTAGAGCAGAGGTCATCAACATGAGGCACCTGTGCCATGGAAGGCTCATGAAGAAACTTTCAGTGGCACCCGGAAGATAGTCACATGTCTACAAAATGATTTGATCTTTCTCTTTAAAACATAACTCTAGTAAAGTTGTTAAATATTATCTAGTCTGTAATGTAGTGTGTAGGCTTTGCATTCATCTCTGCATTTGGATCCAAATGTGCGTGTGAACAGATTTTTTTTACACCTGAAGACAGCAATAGATCCATCTCGAAGCAGATTTACAACAGATAATTCAAAGTTGTGTGTGCAGCTGAAAATTAACATTCTACAGGCCAGACATAGCACAACTAGGCAGTGAAATACAGGGGTCACACTGAAACTATAAATATAGTTTATTCATCAGTATATGTTAATGGTAAATATGGACGTTTTATGTGTGCACCAATTAATATAATAATAGCTAAAGAGTTTAGCTTGTCATTAACACAACAACTATGAGTGCAAAAAACGAAAATACACCATACAGCTACGGAGGGCTATTGTGCACCGCCACACCAGTTGTCCAAAGCTGGCCATACACTGTTAGAATTTGAATCCATAGAAAGAGCTGCTCTACCACCTTTGACCCAAATCCTCCACTGGAACCCTGGCGCCCGGAAAAGATCTCTGCCAGACCTTAATCAATCATGTACTTGTAGAAAAACGGCATTAGAATAGCGATCTTCCAGATATAAGCTTTATTTCTGAAATAAAGCTTATATCTAGAAGATTGCTATTCAAGTGCCGGTTTTCTACAAGTATGTCACTGTTAGAATTTCATTGGAAATTTGTTCGATATCATTTGACGTTGCCATCATTGATCCAACTAATTTAGTGTGAAAGCCCTTAAAATTTCGTCCAGGCCAGTTACTTGAATGGAATCTCATTTGTATTAATAAGGTGTTTTTTTTTTTAACCCTGGCAGATGGGCATTACAACGTGTATGATTTTTCCAGAATGAAAATCCCATTCCTGGTTAGAATTTCCTTGTCACTATGTTGATCGGACACCACTAACCATTAGAAAATCAAACAAACATTCCAAAAACAACATTTTTTAAACTGCATTAAAACTTGTGTATGGCCAGCTTAAAGGAAAACTATGGGGTTAGGGCTTTCCCCATAGTTCTCCTTAGGGTAACAGACACAAACTAGCGTCCTCCCGTCACCCAAAGCTCAGTATACCGTGAGCTACCGCGAGTCCCGTTGGAACCGGGGTTTCCTCCCTAAAAAAAACCCTATCTCTATTGGCATCATCTTGGTTCAATGGGGTAAAACGATTACGTGTAGGAATTTCAAAATCAGAATCTCTGTAAATATGGGGAGTCCAATTATTTCGCATCTCATAATCTGGGTCCCATCTATTCATGGCTCTCTGCAGGGATAGATCGAGAAGTGAGTGAGAGCCGGTATGCGTTTGCTTACTATCCAATCTACTGAGCCGACCTGTGACAGTTTAATTGTCACAGGTCGGCTCAGATTGTGAGGCTGAGTGAAAATCACTCGCCTCCTAATTCTCCTTTAATGCTTGTAAATCGAAGCTTTGGGGCTGATTTATAAAGTGTTCAGCCAGCGTATAGCTGGGTGAACGACGTTCGCATGACATTACTATCACTAGATTGAGCCAAAGAACATAGGAAACATTCCTATGCACCGCAGCTTCATCTAGTGGCAATAATGCCATGCGAATGGCATTCCCAGATACAGACTGGGCAACGCTTCATAAATAAGCCCCTTGTTGTGGAAAGGGACGGTGATCCTTTATCTAGGGCAGGGGTAGTTTCACCAGGGCTGCCTACCGTAGATCTAGGGAGTATCAGAATGCCTTAGGGAATCAGGAAGAATTGTTTCCCACTGGAACAAATTAGACCATACTTTGTAAGATGTTTTTGCCTTCTGGATCCACTGCTGGTTTAAACCTCTGATGATGCAGGTTTTTCATTTATAACAATTATGTGCCGAGCTAAATAAATATATACAATTCAGTGAAATATGGGATATAACAGAGAAATGTATATGTATATGCTTAAAAAATCCAGGAGCATATCCAGACATAAAAATTGAGAACAAATGTGATGAAAGCAAAGTCCAATGTGCAACAATAGTAATCGTGCAAACAAATGCAGGGGATACTCCACAGTGACCCCCGCCCATCCAGCAGATAGCTCCGGGATTTTTTAAGCATATACATATACATTTCTCTGTTATATCCCATATTTCAATGAATCATATATCTTTATTTCGCTCGGCACATGATTGTTATACATGTTTTAGATACTTTTCATTTATCTCAAGTGCCTAGTAGCTCTTATTTGCACCTATTCACTGGCGCTGATCACTTACTGTTTTTAGGTTTTTTTCATTTATTTTTGGCCTTAGGTTGAACTTGATGGACATGTGTCTTTTGGCAACATTACTACCTATGCTGCACATCAAGTAATCCCTCTACACCAGGTTTGGGTAAATTCCAGCCCTCCAGCTGTTGTGGAACTACAAATCCCATGAGGCATTGCAGGATTCTCACAGCCATGACTCCTAGAGACAGATGCATGATGGGATTTGTAGTTTCACCAGAGCTGGAGGGTGGGAGTTTGTCCACCCCTGCTCTACACAGAAGACTTTTCCATTTCACCCAAGACCCATTGGGTTGATTTGGTTAATGATATCATGAGGATGGAAAGCATAATAGCAAATAAAAAAAACAAGAATCCTATAGTATCCATGGTATTAATGGTATCCATTAGGGATGCACCCATACCAGTTTTTCGGTATCGAGTATGAGTACCAATATTTTTTTTTTTTTTAAAACACAAAAAAGATAAAGCGCACTCCTGTGGGGTGGGCAAACTTCAATCGGGTGGCTGTTGTGTGTAGGTGTGCAAAGCTCCTCGCTACAGGGAGAGGACCCTGTCTGTTAGCAACCACAAATCAAAAGAAAAAACTCAGAAGCGCAACTACCAAAAATGGTATAAGTGGGTTGGATTTGGCGAAAGGCCCAGTGGATCTATGTAATAAGGGGTGCTGATGGATCATTGAGTGTGAGGTCTGGGTGTCTATGGCAATGTCAGAGCAAGCAAAAGGGACTTACGGTTAGGAGCTCTCCCGTTGTCTGTGCGGCCCTCTCCTTGGACAGATCCTGGCTCGAAGGGATGTCCCCGGTGGTGTGAGAGACTGGTCCAGAACGGATGTGCAACCGTATGGCCGCCCGCGTACTCCGCTGGCCGGGCCGCGTCGGTCAGAAACGGAGGAAAAGGGGGAGGAGCTACACACGGCTGAGGGACGCCGTGTGTCAGTGTTGGCCATCGGGCTATGGTCACAGGGGTGCAAAAGTGTCGGGTGTCTCCAGTGGCTACGCGTTTCGAGGGGTTACCTCTTTATCAAGAGGCTTGATAAACACACTCAATGATCCATCAGCGCCCCTTATTACATAGATCCACTGGGCCTTTCGCCAAATCCAACCCACTTATACCATTTTTGGTAGTTGCGCTCCTGAGTTTTTTCTTTTGATTTGTAATATTTTTTTTGGCACTCGTCGATACCGAGTACTGGTGCCATGTGCCTGTGAAGCCGGTGTTCTAGTGAAAGAGCAGCGGCTTCACTTGTCAAGGCTGCCTGGCTTCCCGACCAATCAGGAAGCGAGGCGGCGAGTCATGAGGAGTCATCTTGCTTCCTGATTGGTCAGGACGCCAGGCTGCCTAGCAAGTGAAGCCGATCCTAGCAAAATGTGAAGTTGCTAGCTAATCAGGAAGCCAGGCGGCATGTCATGACCCACTTCCCTGATTGCTAGGAAGCCGGATTTACATGTTGCTGTGCAGCGTGGCTTCCTGACTAATCAGGAGCCGGAATGCGTGTCATAGGGTGGCGCCCGGCTTCCTGATTGGTTAGGAAGCCAGGCTGCTTACCAACAAGTGAAGCTGGCTTCCTAGCCAATCAGGAAGCCGGACGGCACGTCATGACCCGCCTCCCCGATTGTTCCTAGGCAGCCTGGCTTCCTGACCAACCAGGAAGCTGGTAGGCGGGTCTTTATGTTCCCCCTGACTTCCTGATTGGTTAGGAAGCCAGGCTGCTTAGCAATAAGTGAAGCCGGCTTCCTGATTGGAAAGGAAGCCAGCTTCATGCTTCCTCGGCACTGCTGGTCAGAAGGAGATCTCCCTCTGACCGGTAGTTCTGAAATGGGAGGTAAGTATCTGAACATTTGGGCGAGTACGAGCACTAGTATCGGTGCATCCCTAGTATCCATGAATACATTTCTCCAGGACTCCTCACATAGCTCTGATCCTTCAATGCATCCCTGGGAAAACCTTTTGTACTCTGGGATTGCCGGATCAAGTCAAAGTGAATCTACCTTTCTTTCCCTCTCTTTTTCTTTACTGCAAATATGATTGAATGCTTTCTATTATATTTTTTGCAATACTTTCCACTAATTCTCCAAGTTCATCAGGACAAAGCTAGGCTAGTCCAGTGTATAAGCTACTCGCCCACCTGCCGCTGACACCAATGATAGAGTTATTCTTACTTTCATTAACATCAATGATAGAGACTAAAGCTGGCCATAGACATGGAGTGGGGCCGACTTGGCCACCTACAGCTACAATTTTGGCAAGGACTCGGCCCAAAGTTCAAGCTGTGGGTGGCCCTGTCTCCACAGCCAATTGATTTTTGCTGTGTCGGCTGAACAGCGACTGCAGCCAATCAGCTGCAGTCACTGTTCTTGTACTCTGACAGCCGCTGGCTGTTAAAATACAATAGCCCCGCAGGCTATTTAGTGTGGATGGGGGAATCGAGTGGGGCTGAACGAGGAAAAACTACAAGTCTATGGCTAGCATTATGCTTGCTCCCACTGACACCGTTCCCACTGGCACGGTGTGCAGCTTATATTTCTTCCAATGGCAATAATGATATGGGGCTCATTTTATTCAAACTGACACCAATAGCATACCTTCCAACTTTCTGCGATGATACACTCTCCAGCACAAAGTATTTCAAGGGACACCTTCCAGCCAGGGCTGGACCTGCAACATCCCTTTGTGCTTCCAGCATAAAGTAGTTAGAGGAACACCTTCCAGCAAAAAGTATTTGGAGGGACACCTTCCAGCCAGGGCTGGACCTGCAACATCCCTTTGTGCTTCCAGCATAAAGTAGTTAGAGGAACACCTTCCAGCAAAAAGTATTTGGAGGGACACCTTCCAGCCAGGGCTGGACCTGCAACATCCCTTTGTGCTTCCAGCATAAAGTAGTTAGAGGAACACCTTCCAGCAAAAAGTATTTGGAGGGACACCTTCCAGCCAGGGCCGGGCCTGCAACATCACTGTGTACTTCCAGCAAAAAGTAGTTTGAGGGAGACCTTCCAGCTCGAAGTATTTCAAGGAACACCTTTCAGACAGGGCCGGACCTGCAACATCCCTTTGTGCTTCCAGCATAAAGTATGTAGACTCTATTGTTGGCCATTACCCACGTGTCCAATTTTTCTTCTCACCCCTCACGAGGTATATCTCCTAATTAAGTTTATATGTGGGCAACTATGTGAGGGGTGCTTTGATTGTTATACACAATTCATAATCATATGGCTTACTGCACCTCTACTCAAGAACAAGCATTGCGTGAATTCTGACTTTCCTTTGACTTCCCTCATTGCCTGGGTGTTCCAGGTCAGCGACACAAAAAATTGAGACCAGAGACCATCAGGCAAATGGCATTTTTTTTTTTTACAATAAGGTATGATATGGCAGCCTAATAGCTCTAGCATTAACTAATGGGTATTGGGAGTAACAAAGCTGTGCTTTCCTAGCCATTTCATGAATGGCCATCACTAAACAAAGGGCGGGAGTTTCCTCTCGCGATAAAATCTCTGGATCCTACGACCACAAATTGGAGGATGAGGGCGACTAGCACGAGTCAACCTAACCTCTCAACCAACCCTGTTCTGGTTCAACGCTGTATTAAGTTCCGCCCACACATACTCGTCTTCATTGTTTATTGGACGCTTACGTGCCCATCAAATTACCGACGGGCAATGTCGTTCTGCCATTGGGTAGTTAAGCCGATGACGTAGGTGGACGCAAGGTAGTCGAGTTCTAGTGGATCCGGAGCCCAGGAAGGAACATGGCGTATACACAAGGAACAAAGAAGAAAGTGTGCTATTACTATGATGGTAAGAGCGGAAATGGTGAGAATGGGGGTGTCGGTGTACAGAACCTGAAGGAAGCGAATAATGTGAAAGGACCCATATAGGTGCCGCGGTGATAGAGGTGGACGGACGGGTTCATCACTGGGGCGGAACTGTGTGCACTGAGCCTTATTTCACTTTCGTTCGCTTACTTACCGTGTTTTCAAACGTTTACAGACAGGAGTGTGAACACATAAACATTGCTGGAAATTCGGGTCGTACCATTTAGTGGAAGCTTGGGGGCCATGGTACATTTTGGGGTATAATTGGGTGCAGGGGGATGCACAGCTTTAAGACCCTCAAACCAGCGACTCCTACATCGAATTTTAATCGTGGGTTATTGTATGGTAAATGCAGTCTCATTTTTATGTGTTACCCCCCACCCCTCTTGTGACACCATTCATCTTTTCAATTAGAGACTACAACACCCATAATGACCAAGTCTGACTTCTCTTTTGCGAATTCTGATTGGCTGCTGTGGGTTAGCTCTCCTTGCTGCTTACCCTTATTATTGAATTACCCCCCCATGTTCGCAGTTTACACCACCAGTAATTGACTTTCATATCTGCTGGCAATAACTAAGAATCTATCATGCATTTAAATGTAGTAAATCCCAATCTGATTTGGAAATACCAGTTCCTGAATTTAGAAAGTTTTATTAGGCCCCATTCACGCTTAAGCAGAGCCAGGAAATTTAGAGGCTCTTTTGTGCATTTTTACATGTGACTTGTAGAGGAGCCAAATCATGTGTTCTTGGCCCCCTGGACTTTTAGACAGGAGTGCCTGAAAAATGCATGTAATAGTGTTTTCAGGTGCTCCTATTAAAATTTAAGGGGCCGAAAATGCATTCTGTCCCATTTGGAACTACGCATAACAGTGTGCGAGGAACATAAATCTCGGATGTAAGCAGTATCGTGGCGAATAATGGGGTTTTTCATCTGGAGCGTTGTCGGGCTTTGGGAGTTGCTAGCCAAAATGTAGGTGCGAATAGGGTCTACTCCTTAAGGTAAAAATTCAGCCATTTTTTTTTCTAGTATTGAATAGAACAGGAAAAGGTTTTAACCTCCTGTAGGGTTTAAATTGCTGTCTTAGGGTCCCCACACACCTTACGATTATCGTACGATAATCACGGGAAATCCCGCGATCGTACGATGATCGTAAGGTGTGTGGAAGCCGTGCGACCTCTACTACTGTAAGGTCGCACGACTTTAAACTTACGGACATGTTTGAAAACCCGCCGAGCCTCTTACGATGTTCGTCGGGTTTGTGGCATGTCCGTACGATAACAGCCGCACGGGCCTGTGTGCGCAAGCGCAGACTGCCGTTCGGCATTGCGGTCATCGGAAGCCTGCCCCTCGGGGCGTGGCTTGCGATCATCGCAAGTACGATCTGCCTATGCAACATAGGCAGATCGTACGTTTTTTTAAGTACCTTACAACCATCGCAAGACAGAAGTCTTGCGATGGTTGTAAGGTGTGTGCCCAGCCTAAGACCCTGCTGGGGAGATTTCTGCTCACTTCCTGTCATTTCGACAACAGGACAAGAAATGAGTGGAATGGGCATTGCTAGGATTGGTAGTCATAGATGACAGAAAGAAATGCAACAGGGGTTCAGATCTTTCATTACATCAGGGTTGGATAAACAATAATGGTGCTGAGAGTCCAGTTTGTTTCAGGAACCAGCTCCATTAACAACTGTCAAACCTCAAAAGTTAAGCACCTGCTGTAATTTTTAAGAAATGTTGGCTATCTGGCTGCTGGGATGTGTCCAGCTCAGCATTGCATAAAGCCCAATTGAATTTTTCTACTACTTTTAGTTAGGTCCTCTTAACTCCAGCCCCAAATGCAAGGCACAGACAGCTGAATGCACGTTTGCTGGCGTCTGCGCCGATTCTTTTTTTTAAAAACAACTTTATTGAAATGTCACAAGTGACATACCGCGTCACACTGTCCACTTCTTGATAAACCAAACTAAATTTGCACAGTGGGTGCCCCTGTTGACAACCTTCCACCCGGCATCCCTTAATCAGAAAATTGAAAGAGATAAATGGAAAAACTTCAGCCAAACGGTTCTTGCAGCCAATCAGCTGCAAGCACTTTTGGGATATTCTGATGGTGGCCGCTGTCACAATACAATGGGAAACCGCAGGGGATTCCTCCCTCCACGCTAAGATTATGTGATATTTACACATAAAATAGTACAGTCTAACTGTTCTTCATCCTATCCAAAAGTAGCAACAAATGTTGGGGTTTAATATGAACCCCTTCACTGGAAATAGTGATGACAGATGCCAGCCTAAGCGTCTGGGGAGGAGTGACTGGACAGCTATTTGTAGCAGGGATTCCTCCTTGGACCAGTGTTCTGCAACTGAGTGCGATCAAACTCTTGCACTGGGCCGTTTTTGTTTTTTTTTACAGGGTCATCATGTCAGTGTTAAGTCTAGCAATGCTGTGGCATATGCCAATCATCAAGGAGGAACAAATAATCCAGCAGCAGTGCTGGAGGTCTCCCATATCCTTCACTGGTTGGATAAAAATGTTGCAGGCCCTATCTGTGGTCTACATTTCAGGAGTAGACATCTGGCATGTAGAGTACCTAGGTTGTCAAAGCCTGGATCAAGGAAAGTGGGCTCTAAACTCTGAGATCTTTCTTCAAATATGTCAAAGGTGGGGGACATCGGACATGGATCTCCTTATGTTTTGTCTCAACCACAAATTACACAGAGTTGTGTAGGGCTGCAACTAATGATTATTTTCATAATCGATTAGTTGGCCGATTTTTTTTTTTTTTTTTGATTGGATAAAAAAAAAAATGTGATACCATCCTTAATTTTGAAATACATTTTACAAAGTTTACATCTACAAACTACATTTTTGCAATCGCACTGCACTTGAGCACACATCATTGTGTTCCAGTGCTGGCGATCACACTGTGGGTGGGAAGCGCATCCTTAATTTTAAAATGCACAAATGCAGTGTTGCAAAGTTTACATCAGAATAAAACTACATTTTTGCAATCGCACTGCACTTGAGCACACAGCATTGTTCCAGTGCGGGCGATCACACTGTGGGTGGGAAGCGCATTTGGGGTGCCTTTTGCAATGAATGGCACCGAAACGCACCTCCTGCCGCAGAATTTGTCAGGCTGAAACTGGCTAGAAGGCTGGCGCAATAGCCAGCCTGTTATTGGCCATTTCAAATTACAATAGCAGGCTGGCTATTGCACCCATCCACTGCTTGCTGTGCCCTCCTCCCAGCATAGGGGAGAGAGCTATGGGATCCAACCAACTAATCGATAATGAGAATAGTTGACAACTATTCTCATCAACTGGTTGCAATCTTAGAGTTGTGGCAGGACAAGGCACCTCTGGCAGGATGCCACAGATGCCTTGGTGGCCCGTGGAACTGGTACACACTCATTCATGCCTTCCCCCTCTAAAGCTCTTTCCTTGTTGGCTTGTACTTTGGGTAGAATCCAAATGGATTCCGGTCATCCTTGTTGTCCATGGTACACGGTTGACATTTGCCAATATTCCATCCGGCTTTACCATTGCCAGCTTTAATGGCATGACTATTGTTAGGCTGGTGTTGAGGGACAGGGGCCTGTCAGACTTGGTGATTCCTACCAAGCTTAAGGCTCCCAAATCTACCTCCCATCAGTTTTACTATCATGAGTGGAAGGCCTGCTTTTTGTGGTTTTCTTTGCATTCATTTTTGGTAGCATGGATCTTGGCCTTTTTTCAGTAGTTAGTGGATCAACAGCTAGCTTTACATACCCTCACGGGTATTGGACTTGGCAGCCTTCTTTCAACATCCACCGGCCTCTTATTTTTTGGTATGCAAATTTTTCCAAGGGGTTATGCATACATGTCCTCCGTTCAGACCCCCAATATCACTGTGGATCCTGAACTTGGTACTTTTTGCCTTTTCAGAAACCACTCTTTGAGAATATTTAGGAACTAGCTTTGCTGACTCACAAGAAGTGGCCTTTTATGTGCCCATCACCTTGGTTTGGGGAATTTTGGAATTGGCGGCCTTGTCTTACAAGCCTCCATTATTGGTTTCACACAGAGACAAAGTGGTTCTTCACCTGAGGCTTTTCTTCCTGGTGAAGGTGGAGTCTGCCTTTTTTTTTACCGCGAATCGCGGTAAAAACGCGTGACAAACGCGCATATTCAATACGCCTAGGTGTGAACCCAGCCTAAGGACTCGGTCTAAGAAGAAGCCTGCTGGAATGACCGGGTGGGTATAATTTTTTTTTAAAATATTTTTTAGCACCTCGAAACAAACAAGCAGTTAGCCCTTGCAGTGTTGGGCTAGTTAACATTTTTCCCTGGAATTCATTAAAGTAAACTTTTCATTAACTAACTTTAAAAAAATCTATATAAATTTCTGAAATGCAATAAAAGCAGTCTTTGAGGTAAGTGGCTTTTCCTAGACTTGAGAGGATGTCCTCTGTCTGCTGCAGGCATGAGTATGTATTTGCTTACTCTCCTCTGCTTCAGTAATCGGACTGTACGTTTGTAGGCTGCAGGGGTGGCTGATCTGTGCGAGACCTTCCTGAGCATAGCCAAGTACTGCACAGACACCAGGATTTACATGAATGTGTCATGTCTGAGCCATTATCTGACTCCATGAGTTTGATTAGGACTGTGGATGATGGGTAAACAAAGATGGGCCCATCCATCTGGGGAGAAATCAGATGAAGGCATGGTCATGGGGAGTACTGTGCTTTATGTAAGAGTTAATTTGATACATTACTTAGAATGCATGCACTTGGCATACAAACAAACATATGCCAGGTTCTTGTTATATATTTGTATGATGGTGTTTTGACAATTGCAATGACCTGCTTTGTTGTTGCTGTCTTTTTTTGTTAACAGGGGATGTTGGCAATTATTATTATGGGCAGGGGCATCCAATGAAGCCTCACAGGATCCGTATGACACACAATCTGCTGCTTAATTATGGATTGTACAGGAAGATGGAAATCTATGTAAGTGCTATTTGACCTTGTGCTTAACAGTATGTGGTTTACCAGATAGTGATACACAATTTTGATTTTACTCATCACTAAGGTTCAAAATAAATGGATAGACCCCATTAACCATTAGAAAATCAAAAAGGAAATATTCCATTCTGAAAAGGAATCATTTCCAACAAAGTTCTACTGTTGAATGGACAGCTATGCTTATCAGTTATAGCGCCATCTAGTGGCTACAAGATTAAGTACAAGTTATGTATAAAATCTTTCCTTATAAAAAGTAAATACTTCTGAGTTTCTTTTAAAATTTTAGTATATCCATAGCCACAACTTTCTATTGCTGTCGGTGTCCCATTGGGGAAATTTCCTTTACACTTCCTATCTCCGAGACCCAACAGGAAGTGCGGTGACATGTTCCCAGAATGAGGGGAAGCAGAACAGGTATCCTCAATGGATGATATTCCTTCACATCCTGTTCCATTGCCAACCCATCACTTTCTTTCCCTGTGGAAAATGATTGTCAAGGGGCAAAAAACAGTGTGTCTATAGCCTCATCAGGGATGCAGCAGTATAAACCTGACGGGATTTATAACCCTTAAACACGCTATTCAAAGAAGAAGAAAAAATTGTTCTCAATTTACAAAGTCCACTCCAGCCGGGGGTTGGGGTGAGCTGGAGTGCATCATGCAGAGCCTCCTTTGCTCTTTATTCACACTACTTTTTCATTCTGGTTTGCACATTTTTGTCAGATCCTCACTACTCCTGTATTGCCACTCACTCTTTGAATTACCCTTTAAGGTGTATTTTAAGCGGTTTAAAACACACGCACGTGCATATCTGTGTGCACTATTTAGTTTCAAAAGTTATATTTTAAATATTGTGTTTTGGTAAATTTATAAATATTCATGACTTATATTTGCATGCTAGATGCTCCCTCTCCCCTCCACAATTAAATGCCATGTTTATTTTTTTCTTATGAATGGTTTGTTTTGTGAAATAAAAGGAAAAAAATAAATCTCTCCTTTTTTAAGAATTACGTTATTGCCCTTTTTGAAGAACACAATTCACACATTTTAAAAAGTAGCCAGGGAGGTGTTATCTATATCTATCTATATATCTCTATCTATCTATATATCTCTATCTATCTATCTATCTCTATCTATCTATCTATCTATCTAATCTATCTATCTCTATCTAATCTATCTATCTATCTATCTATCTATCTTAATTTTCGTAGGTACTGAACTAGCTTCCCCACTAGGTGTCATAAGTTTGTATGTGAGTTTTTTTTCTGGGGTCACAGAGCAAGACTAACTCAACCTGTGACCCACTGCATCAAGTGCTTGTTGAAATATGGTACTATTGTGCTTAAAGGATATTTCTCATCCTACCAGAGACCACACAAAGCCAGTGCTGAAGAAATGACAAAATATCACAGTGATGATTACATCAAATTTCTACGTTCCATCCGGCCAGACAACATGTCTGAATACAGCAAGCAGATGCAAAGATGTACGTGTTCAGAGTACATTGCTTGGTAGAGTATATCAACAAGGATCGATCAAGATTGGGTGTTACAGGTGTTATTGTACTGACGTGACATCCACTCAGTTATCACCTGTGGGTGGGGTTTGTAAATTATGCTCTTGCTATTTTAATCTGTTAAATCTATCTCTCAATAGTAACTGGGCTTGGTGTTCCCTAGAAGGGCTTCATCAGTTATGCACTTTGAGCAATGCCTTTGACAAAGCATTTTTAAAAGCGTATTGTCAGTGAGATTCGTGGTGGTGGTCGTCGTTGGCCCTCCCCCCTATATCCAAATGAATGGACACTTAGAAAGCTTGACCACTGACTTTACTATTAATGCCTAGCAATTGTATAGCAATTCCAAAATGTTACTTTGCCTAAACCTTTTTATTTGATCTTTTTATGTATAATCTGCCAGTAGGTTCATGTTACAGATCATTTGTTTTGGTTGCTGCATTTCTAATTCAGACGGGCCATTATCAACTGTTTTGTACATGGTTTACTTGCAGGAGATGCAGTGCGTTCAGGGCAGAGTTATTTGTAGAAACCCGCGCCCACTCTAATAAAATGCTTGAAATGATCTAAAGCCGTTTTTAAAGATTCAGTTAAAACATAGTGGTCTATTTATAACCAATTTGCAGAGCCATTCGTCCTACGACTCTTTTTGTACATTGGTTCTGTGTGAATACATTTAAATTAACGTTTTTAGATGATTTTCTTTTCAGGTCGGATGTATTGAAAGTGACACTAAACTCAAGGTGCTTAAATGCATTTTTAAGATTCAGCTACTTACTATTAACAATACTGTACCTTATTTTTGTATTACTCGGCTGTAGATCCTCAAATCATCTCTGAATTCATGCTGACACTCTCCTTCCTTCTGGAGGGTGGCTACTGTTGTTCCCCATGGTCCCTGCGTGCGTTGTAAAGTAGCCACAGCTCTAAGCTCATTCCTGTGATGGACTATTTCAATACACATTTGTAAACTAAACATAAGATTGTAGTCCATCGCGGGAGTGAGTTTGGAGCGGTGGCTACTTTACAACACACACAGGGACCATGGGGAACAAAAGTAGCCACCCTCCAGAAGGATGTACAGTGTCATCACCAATTCAGATATGATTTGAGGATCTACAGCTGAGTGATACACAAAGTTCAGTATTGTTAAGAGTAAAGGTACTCGAAAGCAGTTTTAAGACTTGACTCCTGAGTTTATTGTCGCTTAAAGGAGAACTATGGGGTGGGTCTGATATTATGAAATACGCTGCCTACGGTTTAGTGTTTTTTATATCCGCAGACATCAATTATTTATAGCAATCTGCTCAGCTAACCAGTCACATCACACTGCAATAAATACAAGCTATGGTGTCTTGTGTTGAACCTTCAACCTTTTGTTGTCTGCAATGTACCTAGTTTGTACAACACTGAAGCAGATGATCAGCAACAATTAACACCAGTTTAAAAATTAGGCAGACCGACTAAAACACAGAGCACCTGGAACTGTCCTTTTTAAAGGTATACAAAAGCTGCCCATAGAGATTAGATGGGCTGAAAAAACATGACATTTTGAGTCATTTACCCATAGAATATTTAAATTCTCCATAAGGATCTAATGACCTTTTCATCGGACAGATTTCTGGAGATCACCCGGGTTCAGGTGGAATTTTCATCTGCTTTTTATGTACACAATGTTTTATCATGCCGATCGCTATCTTTAGCTAAACTTATTGCCAAAAATCGTGTATGCATAATGGGGGAGAAGATAGAAGTTAAAGGAGAACTATGTGGTGAGTGAATTACACTCATCTACATGGAGCTGACGTGTGACATTGAAACTGTCACAGGTCGGCTCTATTGAGCGGGAAGTAAGTGAAAAAATTACACCGCTTACTCCCCGATCATCAGCCTGCAGAGAGCGGTGACAGTCAATCACCGCTCCCCACAGGGATTCCCTTCTCCGATCCTCCAGTGCTGACTGGAGCGACGGATGGGAGAGGGGCGGGCATAGATGGCTCTTCCTCTAAATAGGCAGAGCCCGCTGTCTTATCAGCCAGCTGGGTAAATCTCGACAGTATTGTCAGGATCTGTCCTGGCTACAGCACTCTCAGCATATAGTGGGCAATAGCTCGCCAAATACTGAGTTTTGGGTCACAGGAGGACTTTGGTTTGTTCCCCATGACCCTAAAGAGAACTATGGGGGGAAAAAGTTAGCCCATAGTTCTCTTTTAAATGTGTTGCTACATTATGTCCAAAATGATGCAGCTCAAGAACTCCATCTAGTGGCCATAATGGATAGATGCACTATAGCGAACATAATGTTTAAAAATGCTGCATTTCACTAAAGTGGAACCATTTTATAGCACTGCAAAGCAGAAGGGAGAGCCAGGGTATTCCATAAGCAAATATGGCTAGCTTTTGCATGTTCATAAATACAGTCTGTACATAGAAACTAGTTTTTTTAAAGCCTTAACGCACATTGGGTAAAAATACACCAAAAAGACTATTCCTTTTAACTGCTATCAATATTTGCAGATGATAGTAGCTCATATTTATTCATTAAGAGACACAGGAATTTTTTTTTCTTTTTTATTTCTTTGTTGTGTTTGTGTGCATTGTGGCTGCAATATGTCTGATTCTAGACAGGTGAGGTAGTCCCACTCTACCAGTTGCTCTCAGCTCACGTTCCACTAACAACTCTGATACTGCTTGCAGCGTACCTACTGATGCATCATGGAATCTTCGTGCCTTCTGCTCCTTAGTCTATGCCTCCTTTGAAGTCTTCCCTAACTCTCGGGCATGGCTGCCTCCTCTGTCTAAGGAGGCTTTTACTTCAGTCATGCGTGACTTAATGGCACAAATCACACTGCTCTCAGCTTTAGCCACTGAGACTGTCTTATCTTTCCAGTCCTCATAGACAAACCTGACTTTGGGGACTAGCAGTCTTCTGTGATCACTCCCAAAATTTGGAGACTGTTTTGTCACTGATTAATGCAGAACATCCTACTTGCTAGATGATTAGCCTGTTGCTTTACAGCACTGTTCCCAGTCTTGGATCCTTTAGAGTCTTTAAGACTGACAAGACCATTGCGGTGCATCCGCCATTCCAAGTATTCCCTTAGGGAGACTGGAAACATCCGATCATGATGCATGTGTCCCCCACTAAGTGCTTACTAGCCTTGTACCTGTTTGCAGAGTACTTTGTTAAAAAGTTGTCTGTCCCTTCATCCTTCAGTGTCCCGTCTTAATAAAGCGCTCAGCATTTCGGTGGCGGATGCGAGGCGCACTGCACTTTTTCAGCTCGTTCCCCTGACCTGTCAAACTCTTGACTGATTTAAGCCTATTTAAAGGGATTTGATCACTATGGCTGTTGATCCCTCAGTCATAAAATGTTTGGAACTAATGGGTGTACCACATTGCCAACAGGCTGCTGGAGACTTTCAGTTCCACATGAGTCTCCTGTTAGTCCACATGCAAAAAAAACACTTTGGTTCAAATGTTGGACTGTGGAACCTGTTGCTAAAGAAGCGATTACTCCGCATGGTCTTCAAGGGACATTGTCTCTTTGGTGTAATGCTAGACAACATCATCAAGGACACCACAAGTGGCAAGAGCATCTATGTCCTTCAGCCAAAGATGCTGAGGGCTTATCCATCTCGCTGGTGCATTTATTTTTCCTGCAGCCTTAAACTTAAGTTGAGCTCCCAGGCCTTTTGCAAGTCCTGGAGTTCCAAGTCTTCCAAATGCTCAAACAAACCTTCAGTATGAAGGTGCTCCCCAGTTTCCAAAGTGGAAAGAGTCTGTTTGTCTTGGCAGATATTTGGATGACTTGCGTCTCGGATGCCTGAAGGTGCCAGAGGTTATTTCCAGGCTCTCCTAGCCATCTCATTGGCTCATCAATTTCAACCTCCCTGTGTCACTTCACAGATTAGCAGGTCTTCTGGATGAGGGTATCATTGCCCTAGTTCCTGTGGTAGATCAGTTTCAGAGCTTTTAATCCATCTTGTTCAGTTCCCAAATCAAAAGGAGGCTGTCGCCCATTCTTTGATTTCAAAGCCATAAATGTCTTCATTCGAACTTATGGAATATTCCAGATCTGTCAGCCTTCCTTCACTAGGCAGACTTTCCGGCCTCTGTGGCCAAGAATGTGTACTGTCATGTTCCCATCTTTCTGGCACAAAAGTGATTTTCTATGTCTTGCAGTGGGTCTTCACAATTTTCAGTTTTTGGCCCTGCCTTTCTCTCTCCTCTGCACCTCGGATGTTCACCAAGGTGCTGGCCCCGATATTGGCTTTACTGCAATTTTGGGGCATTCCTGTGTGGGATACCTAGAGGGCCTCCTATTGAGGGAACAATCAACGTAGGTTCTGGCAAACAATGTAGCCCTAACTGTCCAGATCCTGCAGAAGTTCAGGCGAATCCTGAGTCTTCAAAAAATCTGCGCTTGAACCGACTGTTCATCGGAAGTATCTGGGTTTGGACTTTGGGGGAACTTCATGTTGCCATCAACATTCTGGAGCTTCGAGCGATTTGGCTGACCCTAAAGCGCTGGACGTGGAGGGTCATCTGATCCGGATTTAGTGGGACATTGTCACAGCAGTGGCCTACATCAACCCCCAGGGAGGAACTAGGAGTCTCCCCGGGCTGAGAGTTACAGCAGATCCTAGGTTGGGCACAACTTCTTTTTCCTGCCTTGCCTGCTGACTCCATCCTAGGCATTAGCAATTGGCAAGCAGAATTCCTCACCTGAAGCAACATCTGAACCTGCGGGGGAGTGGTCTCCACACCCGATGGTGTTCCAGGACCTGGGTAGCAGTTGGGGGCATATGTGGAGCAATGCAAGTGTCTGGGCTGGCAACATTATCCTGTTGAGAATTATTTCCGTTATTGCACAAGGACAGGGTGGTGTAAGGGCTAAGAACCTCTTTCCGACCTAAAATTAAATTTGGCCTTTTACCTCAACCAGGACATTGTTCTTCTGTCCGTTTGTCTGGATCAGAAGATTTCCCTCCATTTCTTGGCTTAGTTTTAGTCTGTAAGAGTTTATCTCAGCCCTTTTTTTATTTTTCTTTCTTCGTCCCATTCTAGGTGTTTCAGACAGACCATTATCCAAGCTTATGGTCTTAAGGAACGGATTCATGCCTTTTTCTGTCAAGGCGCACTATACTAGATCTGTGAGTGCCTCTTAGGCTCAACAGCATCAGGTTACTGGTTCCCAGATTTGCAAGGCTGCCACCTGCTCTTCTGTTAACACATTTTCCAGGTTCTAACAGGTGGATGTTCAGGCCTCATCTGATGTCAGCTTGGGGTGTAGGGTCCTTTTTGGGCAGCTTGAGCTGAATGTAATCCCCAGCTTCTGTTGGTGGTCAGCATTCTAGTATAGGTGTTTGTTTTTTTCCAGCACCCCTCAGTTCGACTGCTTCTTGATGTCCTGACAGTTATGGACTTCCTGTGTGCTTCAATGGACAAGAAAGAAAATAGGACTTTTTTGATTACCATAAAATCCTTTTTTTGTGTGTGTGTTGGGTGGGGGTTCATTGAGGGAGAAAGATCCCCTCTGTGTATGATCATGCTCTTAGGACTGCTTTGCTTCAAACTGAGGCATGCTGGTCATAGTGGAGGTTATCCTGGGCTGGCCTACAATTTTTTTTTGCCAGTATCCCATTATCCTTGTAAGTAGCAGTCAAACCCGGCGGTTAATGACTTTCTGTGTCCCTCCAATGGACTCCCAAGAAAATGATTTTTACAGTGAGTGCAAAAATCCAAATATTTTGATCAATAAGACAAACATAGTCCCAGAATGTAAAGAAGTTGCAACTTCTGCTGCTCCTTTTATAGGCTGTGCTGCTAGCATGAGGCGGGTGAATGCAGAATCCAAATCTCGATATGTCAGCTATTGGACTGCTAAATAGTTACTTTAAGATTATTATGTAAAACAATTTGTTGAGGTAAACCTGTTGTCAGGAATTGCTGCCCCTTCTTCTGAAAAGAATTCCCTGTCTCTCTTGCTGATCTAATGGATTCACTACTTTCTGATGGGATAAATATGCAGTTTAGGTGTTCTGCCTATATGCTTGTTGCAGGTCGGTGTCTGAAAGTATTGACAGCAGGGCAAGACAGCATTTTTGTTAGAGGGCTTTAAAATCAAAGCTGTCACCACATGAGTGATTTAATCAGGCAACAAGAATAAAGTAGAAGCACCTAGGGGTGCATGCATATAGTTTTAAACATTTTCATAAGCATCGCAGGAGCTTTGAAACCTGGGCTGTTCTGTTATGGATTTTCTGACTTCTAGTAAGTTGCCTGCAGGTCTGCCATTTCCTGCATCTCATCATTGCGCACTGCGGTAGTGCAGTTATAATAAGTGGGTAAAGGGTAGGGCAGCCTTCAGCCTTTCCAGGTTTATTTTGAATTTATACAGTATGGCATCCAAGGTTTTGGAGCTGTGTATAGCAGCCTCTAGTTGTCTAATGTTTAGTTAGGTTTACTCACTTTCATGGTATTACTTGAAAAGTTTGAGTGCTCAGTGTTTTGTAACCGGTGTAATTTTGTCCTCACAGTTAATGTTGGCGAAGACTGTCCTGTGTTTGATGGTCTCTTTGAGTTCTGCCAGTTGTCAACAGGAGGATCTGTTGGTGAGTCTTTCTACTTTCAAAGGTTCTTGAAGATTGATGTTTTGTTATAATCCCTGTATGCCATTCAAAGACAGTTAAGCTTTTCTTATACTGTGTGTGGGGTGGGTTTTCTTTTTTTTTTTTTTCTCGTTCCTAAAAGTTTTTTGTTTTTTTTCTGTTAACAGCAAGCTCTGTTAAACTAAACAAGCAGCAAACGGACATTGCTGTAAACTGGGCAGGTGGACTTCATCACGCCAAGAAATCTGAAGCCTCTGGTTTTTGCTACGTCAATGACATAGTGCTTGCCATTTTGGAACTGCTTAAGTACGTATTCATTGTAAAGAAACAATAGCAGGCAAGGAACATTTCCCTTATGGCTGGTTTATTTGTTGCAGATATCATCAGAGAGTGCTGTACATTGATATTGATATTCATCATGGTGATGGTGTGGAAGAAGCTTTTTACACCACAGACAGAGTCATGACTGTTTCTTTTCATAAATATGGAGAATATTTTCCAGGAACTGGGGACCTGAGGGTAAGTTTATAAAAAAAAAAAATGAATGTGGTTGTTGAGTAGGGTATGGGGGATTTAAAGTAACCCTGTGAATGGGTCAGCAACTACAAAGAACCTGTGAAGGAAACTGCTTTATACATGCTTGGCCATTATCCTGTTAGCTAAAACTTAAGCTGTAGCAGAGCTACCGGCACGGATCCGATTTTAAACTTCAGGGGTATAGAATAGCCCGTACCCCCTCTAACTGCTGTGGTTCCTCCCAAAAACCTCCGTGTCGCTATTTGTGTCCTACAATGACTAGGGGTAACAAGGTGGAACCACAGCAGACTTGTATAGAAATGCAAAACCGGATTAAAGCAAACAAATGCTGTAGAGACAACCCTTCACTCATCCCACCAGCAGTGTGGTTTGTCTGCATTTTGCATGTTGCAACATTGGTATTGGATGCTCTTCTGCATTTTAAGTCTGTGTGAAAGTAGCCTTAGTGCTAGTTTTGGTGAAGTAATTCCTATTGGGTTGTACACTGCTTTAACCACTTGCTGATTACACCCCCTTCCAGGCCAGGATATGTTTCCGTATTTAGCGCTGTAGTACTTTGACATTTATTCCGTCATGCAACGCTGTACTAAAATTAATTTTATACCATTGTTTGGGGACACATAACTTTCTTTTGGTGGTATTTAATCACCACTGGGGTTTTTATTTTTTACTATATAATGAAACAAGTATCAAATTTAGCAACAAAAAAAAACTGTTCTCCCTACATAGTTATAAAACATTTATTACCCAAATTTTTGGTAAAATATAAGACTGGGTCACGTTGGATAAATAGACACCAAACGTTGTCAAGTTTTAAATTTGAAATGGCTAAAAACTACCATACCCAAAATTGCCCATAGGCGCTGCTTTAAAAGCTGTTACCGCTCATCATTTTAGTGTGTTCAGTGATTGATGGCTGTAGAATTTATTTCTTTAAAAAGAAAAAATTGTAAACCTTATTTTTTCACTTAACTTTATTGCTATCACATAGGGGGATAACAAGCCCCCCATGTGATAGAGAATTTGCTGTGACAGGTCCTTTTTTATGGAGACATGGGTCTTTAGGACCCCTAATGTCACCTAGGGACCGCCAGAGAAGCTGATGAAGCAGAGATCTGCTTCACTAGCTTCTCTTCAGCTATTGTACCGAGAGTGACAGAGGAATGTGGAAGTGATATATACATCACTTCTGCATTCGGACGAGGAGATCAAACGGAGATTGTGTGTTGATCTCCGGTCACAGAGCTGCTAAGGCTGGTCACGGGCTCACAGCGGAGCTCGGGTCGCCAGCAGCAGCTGCGACGGAGGGGGCGCACACGTTACAAGCAATCAGGCGTCTCTACAGACGCCCAAACGCTTGTATGTAAACAGCCATCACTGGCTGTTTACATTTCAAGCTGGTTTCCCACTTGTGTGCGCCAGGAAGGGATGTTTAAAAACACCCACCCGCATCCAAGAAGCCATTGTTCTGCCGTTTTAATTACAACGGCCGGACAGCAGGTGGTTAAAGGCCAGCAGAAAGCTAAGCTTAAGGCTGGGTTCACACCTAGGCATTTCTTGACGTTGCGTTTTCACCGCGATTCGCGGTAAAAGCGCGACAAAAGGGCTACTTGGCTGTATCCCAATGGAAACGTGCGACAAAAACGCTCCAAAGAAGCTCTTGTACTTCTTTGGGCGTAGGGTGTTTTGTAGCGCGTTCATACGGCCTGTAATACGCCCAGGTGTGAACCATAGGAAATAATGGGATTTCGGTGTTTGAGCGTTTTTGCAGAGCGTTCGAACGTGCTACAAAACGCCCAGGTGTGAACCAGGCCTAACTGGTGCCCATTCCCCTGAATATATTCACTATGATCAAGTGCTGGAGTGAAAAGTGTGTGCACAACCTTTCCGAAACTCATTTGTAGGTACATTTGACAGCTTATTGCTATAATAGGTTGTGGCATGTACCAGTGCTTTTTAATTGATATTTTAGGTAGATGCTAGCGAGTTAAACCTCCTGACAGCTCTCGTCCATTTTTTGAATAAAACATCACTTTGTGACACTTGTGTAAAAATGCAAGGTGTAACCTGTCACTGCCAGTACAGACACCAGCCCACATGCTAAAATAGATCTGGTGTGAATGTAGCCTTACTGTATACCCAAATGCCTCCAGTTTCCTTTCATTCTGTAATGGATGTTTGAATTAATCACAAGTGGAAAATTCTAAATCTCTGCCTGGTTTTATTGTTTGTTAAATAGGACATCGGGGCTGGAAAAGGTAAATACTATGCAGTGAACTACCCATTGCGAGATGGTATTGATGATGAATCCTATGAAGCCATATTTAAACCGGTAAGTTTACATTTTGGTGATTTAGCAGATAATTTGTAATAAATATAAAGGCAGTTCATGTTCAGGTTGCCATATGTCCTATTACACCATTCTTCTAATTTTACTTATTAGGTGATGACTAAGGTTATGGAAATGTACCAGCCCAGTGCTGTTGTCCTGCAGTGTGGTGCAGATTCACTTTCTGGGGACAGACTTGGGTGCTTTAATCTAACTATCAAAGGTAAGTCTTGATTTTTTTTTTTTTTTTCCCCCTCCCTTAAATTAGTACATTAAGGTCTGATGTACTGCAAGTTGTGGTCAAATTTATCCTAGTACTGTTTGTGGGAAATGTTTTTATATTTTGTGAATATACAGTATTTGCGATTTTTTTTATTTTGTTTGTGGGTGTCTGTGGCACACTTAGGCTGGGTTCACACCTGGGTGTTTTTCAGTGCTGATCGAAGCGCTGCAAAACGCTCAAGCAGTGAAATCCTATTAAACTCATTTTGTTGTTTGTGGGTGTCTGTGGCACACTTAGGCATGGTTCCCAACAGGGCGTATTTCAGCACGTTTTGACGCACTGAATAACGCCTTGCGCCCGAAATAGTACAGGAGCTTCTTTGGGGCGGATTTCAGCGCGTACCCATTTGTATTCTCGAGTGGCTCGGGGTTAACAAAGCGGTAACCCCGAGCCGCACTCGGGAATACAGCGTAGGTCTTACCTTGTCCGCGATCCCTGCTGTGTCCTCCGGCCGCTGCCGTCTTCCGGGTTCTGTCCCTTGCGAGCGTTCGCGTCGCAGGGGGGCAGAACCGGGGGGAAGTTTAAAAGTTAGACAAAAAGATAGAAAAAAAAACCATACCGCCAGGGAGGTTAAAAAACGATCGTCGAACGTGCGTTTCATTGAACAAAAAAACGTGCCTATTAGGAATGCCCAGGTGTGAACCCAGCCTTAAAGGGAAACTCTCACTTTTGCTTATGCAGTGCAAAATGACTTTTCATAGGTCATCTCCCTGCGATTAATACTTACCCATCCACACTTCTTCTTCACTCTTGTACCGCAGCTTACCCAGGTACCCTCATGTTGGAGCCTGGCGATTGGGCACTCAGACCTGTGCACTGTTACCTGGGGAAGCCCTGCACTGGAGCAAAGGCTCTGACAGGGAGGGGGATATTGAAGGAGTGTGGTTTGGTGAGTTTAACTTAGTGTGAAGGGTTTTAATGGGCTACAGACATTCAAGACAAAGTGACAATGCCTTCTTAAGCCTTCTCAATGTACTCCCTTTGTTTAACATCGCTCAAGCTGTGTAACAACAATGAACCTTTTTACTATTGTGTTTGGGGTTTTTTTTGCCTTTCATGAATCTTTACATTGAATGGTGCTTTCTTTCCTTTTTTCCAGGACATGCTAAATGTGTGGAGTTTATGAAGACCTTCAATTTACCACTGCTGATGTTAGGTGGTGGTGGCTACACAATTAGAAATGTTGCCCGCTGTTGGACATTTGAGACAGCTGTGGCCCTGGACACAGAGATACCCAATGGTTAGTATAGTGTGCATCTGTGCATTTCGTAGAATGCCATTTGTTAACATTTAACTAAGCAGTTCAATTAATAAAAAGAAGGGAATGGTATAAGGAACACATCTGAGTGGTATAAGATGCATGCCTGTATGTTGCTGTTGGTTTTTTTTTGTTTTAAATGCTAAAGCCGGCTAGGGGGGTATCTGAGTAGCCTCCACCTCTTGAATATCCACACCAGATGCTGACCATTTGACTGCTGCTTGAGGTAGCGGCACTTTCAGATGTCTGAGGTTTGCACCAGTTGTACTGTATAATGCTCTAAATGTTTGTAGCGTATAGTTGTGGAGTTTCTCTGGAGACAAAAACTAAACAAGTTCTGTTTTCCATACTGAGTACATTTAAAACTTTATCATTTTAGAGTAAAGTAAAACTAGCAGCAAAATAAGTTCTTAGTGGTGGCTTTTGCCTAATGGCATCATTAGGCTCCATGTTCTAATAAGAAATATGTTGCCACTATTATAACCCTGCAGACATGCAGCGGCCTTAGTAAGTATATCCCCACAAATAAAAAGCTTACTGCAGTAAACCCAAGGGTGGTGCTTGGGATGCCCAAAACTTGCTTCTGTGAGCCCTGTGCAGACATCTGGGAAAAGCCATGAGCTAGCGAGAGAAGAAGGCATAGAATTCTGGCAAGTACTCGCAGCAGACATCCTAGTTCTATTAGGCCCTATTCACACTGATCGATTTATCGAGCGATTTTTGCAGCAATATCGCTCATATTTCCACGTGATATAGCTCTATGTAGCTTCTCCAATCCATTTCAATGGAGCTGTTCACATCTCGTCGCTCAATATCGCTTGTCGCTCCTACATGACCCTTTTTTCTAGCGATTTTTGCTCCTGATTGCATACAGCCCAATAGGAAAAAGTCGCTCAATATCGCTAATATAAAATCGCGCGTAAAATCACACAATTTTATATCGCTCAGTGTGAATGGGGCCTTATGGTTGCAGGAAAGGGAAATTTGAAAAAATTAATTCAGCTCCAAATAACAAAGTTAAAGTTAAATTACAAAATGGCTTATTTAACAGTGTTATTTGTATGGGGGGGGTTTTTTGTTTTTAAGAAAATTGAATTTTACTTTAAAAGACAGTCGCTGCCTGTGATCTTTTATTTTCTACTGGTTGGATGGAAACGTGGCTAAGATTATACCTCGTCAGCATTTTTTTTTTTTAACCTTTTTTCTGTCTCATTGGAGAGCTTTTCCTTCACTTTGTCTGATAGCCATAACAGGAAAAGAGAGAAAATGCTCTAAAAGAGGAAAATCACTGGTGACAGCGCTAAATTTGGAATTGATGTTCAGTTTCAGTGATCACGGTCCCAAAGACAAAGTGAGAGTAAACCTCCCTAATTGAGACACACAGTGGTTTTGCTAAGCTATGGGTAACGTGTGGGCTTGTCTTTTTTTTGTTTTTTTTTTTGTTTTTTAGAGCTTCCATACAATGACTATTTTGAATACTTTGGCCCTGACTTCAAACTTCACATCAGCCCTTCTAATATGACAAACCAGAACACAAATGAGTACCTGGAAAAGATCAAGTGAGTGGTTATTTGAGAGTATTTATTATATTTGAATAAACGTTGACCGATAAGGGGCCTTCTATGACTGCCTGACTTTGTTTCAGGCAAAGACTGTTTGAGAATCTACGTATGCTTCCCCATGCGCCTGGTGTACAGATGCAGGCAATTCCTGAGGATGCTGTGCAGGATGATAGTGGTGATGAAGATGATGATGATCCTGACAAGCGCATTTCCAGTAAGTTTTCTTAGCACAATCTGAATGAAGTCAGATCAACTTGTTTACAATTTGTACATTGATTCTAATATGTAAAGTAGATTTGTTTCTTGTACGTTCCTTCTCCTTAATGATTACGGCATTCTGTATACATGAGATACTAGTCTTCATGTGTACATGAGCTTGGTTAGCTAGACCTATAGACAAATAAGCAATCTTCTAGCTTTTCTGACTAAACAAGCACATAGATCCAAAGAAAGTGAAAAAAATCTATAATTTTAATTCAAATTTCTGAACTGTGGGGTATTCTTTTTTTTTTCCATAGTTCTCTTTAGGGATATATACTAACTTCCTCCCGTGACCCAAAACTCTGTATATAGTGGGCTGTTGCTAGCGCCGCAGCTGGGACAGATCCCAACAATATTGTCCAGATCCACCCCGCTGGCTAATTAACAGCAGGCACTGCCTCTCTAGAGCTATGCCCTCCCTTGTCCGTTCCTCCAGTCTGTAACTATGTAAAGATACAGAGATCGGCATGATAAAACATTGTGTACATAAAAAAACAGATGAAAATTTCAACTGAACCCGGGTGATCTCCAGAAACCTGTCCAATGAAAAGGGCAAATGTGGCAAACGCAATTCAATGCATTCCAGATCTGGTCTGAAAAAATGTGAGCCTGGCCTTGAACAGTTTCAGCTGCTCTGTGTTTTAGTCGGTCTGCATGATTTTTAAACTGGTGTTACTTGTTGCCTATCTGCTTCAGTGTTGTATAAACTAGCTACATTGCAGACAACAAAGGTATAAAACAAAAATGTCTTCAATCTGGAGATGCCTGCCTCCCTTCCCGCAGTACTTCTTTTTCACCACTGGATGTCCATGTTCTGGGTTGGACAATGGCCAGCATCATTCAACCCACTTCCTCTTAGCCCAGGCTGTTGTCATGCACCAGCACCCAGCTAGTGACTGGACAATGAAGGAGAAGTGGCACAGTAATGAGTTCCACTCATACACTTTCTCCTCTTATCAGCATGCTCTGTTTCCCATGAACTGTGGAGCTTCTTTCTCTCCCACTTTGAGTTCGGCTGTACAGAGGCTGCAAGAGGCTGATGCTGATACAATGTCAAACCCAGTTACTTGAAATTTGACACATTAATACAGGTCTGCATCAATTTGTGTCTCTTAAATCTGCCTGGAGTTCACTTTTCACTTAATCTCTGATTTAGTTTGACGTTTTGTTAGTTGGAGCTGACTTAGATTTGTCCAACTGCCACCTGCCTGTCCAGTAATCACTTCAGTGGCTGTTTTAAAACGATCCTTCTTGGACAATACAGATGAGTGGGGCTTTGGCTGCAAGTCAAATCAGTAGTTAGGTAAATCTGAAGTAACAAAGTATAACTAAATCAAAGAATTGCACAAAGGAGGATTATTTGGCTTACAGAGTTAATGGCAGGTATCTTGTGCTGCATGCATTTAGACAGGACGTCTACTTTTAAATGTTTAAAATGACAAGAAGGTTTCAGTTTAAGCCTTTTGCCCACTGTTTACAACTTTTCCTTTCCACTTCTTACAGTTCGATCTTCAGATAAGAGAATTGCATGTGATGAAGAATTCTCGGATTCTGAGGATGAGGGTGAGGGAGGACGTAGGAATGTTGCCAATTTCAAAAAGGCAAAGCGTGCCAAAACAGAGGATGAAAAAGATGGCGAAGATAAGAAAGGTAAGGAACCTCACCAGATTAATTCTCCTCTTGTACATACAGGTTTTATTTGCCAATAACTAGTAGAAACAAATCAAATTTTAGATGGTTACTTTATATCCCCAGGGTTTCTCTGGGTAAGTGGTATTGGAGTCAATTGGTTATGCTGAAAACAAAGGGATTTGCAAGGGTTCATGTATGAAAACAAATGGAAGCAGCATATACAGTATTGACTGTCGAGAAGAAAAACCTTTGTTGCAAGCTGTCTAATAATTCTGCTTGGTGACCCTTGCACAGATTTGAATAGAACCAAGTGCAATGTGCACTGGGTCCCCTAATGGGTTTAATTAGCTCCATAGTCTTCTGGCGAAACTTCTTTAACAACCTATGTTAGCTTTTATAACAGACTGTTCCTGTGGCGATTTACCCACTTCCTGTGTAACTGGGGCATTAAGGAAAATCTCTTCAACAGGGACATGCATAGCAATGAAAACCTGAGAGGTTCTAACTAGGGATAAACAGATTGATTTAAGACTTTTCCATTCTGTGAACAATCATACAATTTTTTTTAATTGCCCTGATCCTGACTATATGATTTTTTTTCACATATCACCTGGATCTGCATGAAGATGTTCAGGAGAGCCAAGAGGAAAAAAATGTGAATGTTTGTTTATTTTTTGGTATCTCTCCACACCTGCACAGTACAATATCAATCTAGGAACCAGACTATGGTGATTCTTTTGATTCTCCACCAAATGTAAAATTCTGCAGGAATATGTTTAGGCAAATTGTTGTAATTCCTTGCTAAGAGAGATCTTGGCTGCTCTGACCCCTGTTGTTTGGCTCTAAACACAGTGGCTTGCAGAAGTATTCACCCCCTTGGCATTTTTCCTATTCTGTGGCATTACCATACACACAATCGTCCAAAATAGCGAAGTAAGATGTGGAAAATGACTTGTTTAAAAAAATAAATATATATAGAAAAGGAAGTGGTGCATGCATATGTATTCACCCCCTTTGCTATGAAGCCCCTACATAAAATCTGATGCAACCAATTGCCTTCAGAAGTCACATAATTAGATTGCACACAGGTGGTCTTTAAAGGAGAACTATGGGGTAAGTGTTTTTCCCCATAGTTCTCCTCAGGTCACGGGAGGACATAAACTAGCGTCCTCCCGTGACCCAAAGCTCAGTATACAAAAAGGAAGACGTCACCAGCACTCGAACAACGATAATAACAGCAATTAGATTCTCATTTATTGACTGATGCCTTCTCTCATTAGCAAGCGCTTTCGGGGCAACACAGGGTCCCCTTCGTCATGCTAACGAAGGGGACCCTCTGTCTTGCTTTTTGTCTACATGTGGCGGCGCCATCCGCTGTCATTTCGAGCACCTGTCTTTTTTTTTGGGGAGTCCCGGTAAGGAGAGCGGCAAGTTTTCTTTTTTCTTACCAAAGCTCAGTATATCGCGAGCTACATGCTAAATACAGGGACATTCTTGAGGGAAACCTGTTTCAGTCTGCCAGAGATTTAAGACTGGGATGGCGGTTCACCTTCCAGCAGGACAATTACCCTAAGCATACTGCTAAAGCAACGCTCGAGTGGTTAAAGGGGAAACATTTAAATGTCTTCGAATGGACTACTCAAAGCCCAGACCTCAATCCAATTGAGAATCTGTGGCATGACCTAAAGATTGCTGTACACTAGTGAAACCCACTCAACTTGAAGGAGCATGGGCAAAAATCACAGTGGCAAGATGTGCCAAGCAAAAGGTGGCTCTACAAAGTATTGACTTTGCGGAGGGTGGGGGATGAATAGTTTATGCATGGTTTGTTTTTTTGTTTATTTGTTATTTCTTGTTTGTATCACAAACTATTTTGCATCTTCAAAGTGGTAGGCATGTTGTGTTAATCAAATGATACAAATAGGAAAAATGCCAAGGGGGTGAATACTTTTGAAAGTAACTGTATAAAGCCTTCCTGAAATGGAAGCATTTCGCTTTTGAGTTGGTGCTAGGATTATTTAAGTTTTGGGGGGGTGGAACCGCATTGATTTCTGACTTATTTTGAACTTTGCAGATATCAAAGAGGAGGACAAGCTAAAAGAAGAAAAGCCAGAAGCTAAACGGTAGGCGCTACATTTTAAAGCTAAACTCCAGGCAAAGGGCTAAATGCATAACAAATATATGGCAGCTTATTTTTCCTGTGAAAGGATTTGTAATCTTTTGAGAATTACACAGCCAGAAAGAAACACTAGGCTGGTAACTTGACATTGTATGCTACAATTAAGCAGTAGGTCGCTTCTTGACCCAGCGTGCTGAAGGAGCAGAAGTAGACTGTTTTGGCTCATCCCTCTGATTTACTTTTCCTGTCAGCATGTTCCTTCATGTGCCATCACATGAACATTGCAGCACATCTGGGTGTTAGTGCTACCCCTCCTACTAAGTCACATTTAGGTGGTTGTACTAGCTGCATTTAGAAAGCATTTGACTTTTTCTAATAAATACACAACCACATTATTTGGCATTTTCATTATATCTGCCTAGAAATGAGCTTTTAAATGGGTGTTAAATGTGTAAAGGAAATATGTATGTCTTGTGTTCTGTTGTGGCCACACGTGTTTTGACTGCATTAATGATGTTTCTTTTTTGTGTTCTTTTTTTTATGTTCCTTCTGAAGGGTAAAAGAAGAGACCAAAACTGCCTGATCCTTTTAAGTCTCCGAAGACATCTCTAGACCAATTGATCCTTATGGTCATATATTTTATATCTGCCTTGTACAGTGATACTTATATAAAATATTATGACCTACACAGTCTAAATTATTATTGTTCTATTGGTTGGCGAGAGGATTAGACCAGAGGTCTTTTTTCCTCTTTGTATGTTTAGGTATTAAGTCCTGTGCCCCACTCCTGTCAAATTGGGCAGTGGCTTAATATTAAACCAAGCTCTGCTCTTAATGCAAGAAGCCTACATGAACCCTTTTCCTGTTCTACATCATTTTGTCGGTGAAGGCGCACTGGTACAGTAGGTTGCCTCTGACTGATCTTTCTTTGCATAATTCTGCTGCTGTTTCTGTGTGGTGAGAGAGGCGGGAGCCCAGGCGTCTTCCAGTTGAGGTAGTCATATCTTCATGGGATAGGGACATGCAGGATCCCAATTTCCCAGCACTCTTCAGGGATTCCCTGTTTGGATAATGCTGCTAAATTCACCCATTTTAATGTTTTATGAAGCAAATATTTTAGAAGAAATTTGGGGAAGCGTGCAGCAGTTACCTGTTACCTCCAAAGGGGTTGCTATTTGGGTTTCTACTTTTAACCTTACCGTGGGAGTTATGGGAGGGAGGGGGGGTAAAAGGGAGATGATTTGGGTTTATATGTCCCTTTTTTTTTGTGATGGGGATTTTTTTTTTATGGTTCTATTGTGGAGAAACTTTGTAATAAAACATTATACCGCACATTTTGGGTGTCAATTCTTTGCGTTAATCCATAGTGATGGTGGAGTGCCTGTTTGTTATACCCTATTAAGTGTTTTTGTTACTGCCACATTGTTTCCTTTATGAAACTTAATACAGGTTGTTGTAGGCTGAGTAAGAGAAACTATTAGATTCCCCATCTAAGATGGTGTGGATAGAAGAATCTCCGCTTTCGACTCTTGTATTCAGCAGCTGTGTGCATTTGATTGGATGCAGGCACTGTTTGGTCAACAATATCCTTGCATGGCTCCTTCGACAAGTCGATTGAAAAATCAACTTTTGTTGAAATGGTTGGTGCCAAAAGGACCACCCACTGCTCAAATTCGAGCTGTTTATGGCCAGCTTTAGTCACCAAATTGGTGAAGTGTCCTTGGTTTGATTGGTCATTCAAGATAGTTCATTGTAGGTCACTGCTACCAATAGCTTTCCTATAATATTGTAGGTAGGGATGTCCAGATATCAGTGCCGATACTTGGCATTTTCACGAAAACTACCAGGGTTACAGCGGTTGCAATTGGGACCTGGCTCTTGTGCTCCCCCACTGTCCTGAGATCATTAGTCTTTATTGTTTTATAAAAACTGTCACATGACAATAAACAAAAATGTATCAGTACTTGTATCTGAAAGTACCAGTACTTGGAAAAATGGTATCAGTGCATCACTTTTAAATATTTATTTTAAAAAAAGCATGCATTAAAATGGGGATGTACAAATCCCAGGAGCTCCGTATGCTCCTTAAAAAATGACAGCTGCCTCCTAAATTTTTTATTTTTCTCTAGTCTAGTACTGGAGTTGGGAAAAGTATCTGTACATGTACTTGTACCGAGTACGGTACTTGGTATCTGAACATCCCTAATTGTAGGTGTTATATAAATCCTATATAACACTTACAATAGCTTTGTATGGTCTACCCTTGACACTTGTGAATGTCTATTATGAATAATGAGTAGCAAGATAGAATGGAGGTTTAAATGCTATATTAGTGCATGCTTGCAGCTTTCATACTTCTGTTGTCCCCTACAAAGTATGGACATAAGAATGGTCTTATATCAGTTTTGCCAATTACAGGGATGTCTAAATCTGTTTTTGAGCAACGGCTTTACTAACAGGCTAGGTTACAAGAGCTAACCGGTTCTAGGGAAGTAGACACCTCCTTTTATGCATTTGAAGGTTAACCCTAGTTTGTCCCAAAGTTACTTTTATTGAAGAAAAAAAAATTGAATCGTTTAGCACATATTGTTAATACACATAAGATATAAGGACAGCTTTAACCTGTGAACAATGTATTGCTCTTTTGGTTTTATTACTTAGAAAATGTGTGCTTCCAATCTTGTGGCACCAGTTTGGGAACGTCCCATTTTCTCTTCCAGCATGACTGTGCCTTTGTACACAGACAGCTCCCAGAAAGGCATAGTTTTAAGAGCTTGGTGTGCAGGAACTCGAGTGGCCTGTGAAAAGTGCGGACCCCAGCGCTAATGAACAACTATGGGATTAATGGGAATTCAGATGGCAAGCCAGATCTTTTCACCTAATATCAATACCTGGCTTCACAAATTCTCCTTTGGCTAAATGGGTATCAATTCCCACAGACGCTACAAAGTCTTGGCAGAAGAGAAGTTTGTTACAGCTGGTGGGACAGTAAAGTGTCAACACACCCTTCAGTCAGAACCATCATACACTATATGGCCAAAAGATTGTAATTTTAAGGAAGTCACTGACTAGCTCCTAGGGTGGAAAAATTAATTAGTTCTTTGGTCTGACATTTCATACATCCGACTTATTATGAATTGGCCTAACTTCATTCATTTGTTTTTTTGTTCTTGTACGTGGTTATATTTGTCATTAAAGGGGTTCTAAACCCTGCATTTTTTTTTGCCTATATCTACTGCTAGTAAGCAGTAGATATAGGCAAGAAGTTTAAAAAAAAAAAAAACCCCGCTTTAACTAGTTTTAAACTTGCCTCGTTATCGCTGCTCGCTCCCATGCCGAGAATCAGGAAGTGATCGTACGGCCGCAAAGGATCTTGGGGCGGGCGCATGCGCAGTTCCGATTCTCGGCCGGAGACGAGCAGAGACGCAAGGTAAGTCTATGGACGCGTGCACCCGCATGCAGACACCGCTGGATCGGAAGGACAGAGCAGTCAGCGATGGATGGGAGAACCGCCGCACCGCTGCAGGGACACGTGAAAACATGTGGAAAGAAGAGGAAGATCAGAATAACAGACATCATTTTAAGGTAAGTGCTAACATTTACATGGGGGGAGGGGGGAAAAAAATTTGACTTTAATGTCACTTTATAGATGAACTTTACCCATTGTCTTTTAAATGTGACACACACCTTTTTAGAAATGTTTAGTAATGACAATCTACAAACACATACTTCTAGATAATTGCCGGCTTTGTATTCTTTGCATACCTTGTTTCTCTTTTCTTCAGTCATCTGATAGTTTAATTTGGGGCATATTACTAGATCTCCCTTTACTTCCTGGAACTCTGGTACATGTGACCATGCACATCATCTCAGGGGGAAGGACATGCCTTTCCTTGAGATCTTGTGAGATTACAGATGAGATTTCCCAGAAATGCTCTGATGTAACCTTCCCAAGGTGCAATGCTTGGACACAGATTACATCACAAATGCCCAAGAGGACCAGAAAGTGGAAAAAACAATCGTAAGTAAAAGCAAAATATGTGAACTGTGACCCTCGTTCAGGATGTATCCGACTACATTTTGAAATAAAGCCACTAAAAAGAAAATGTTCTCATGGGCTCTGGTATGTCACAATAGTATGAACTGTTATGAGGTGCATTTCATCCTCCTCAGCAGTATTTTGCATAATTGGGGAACAAATAATACATTTTATTCACACTAATGTAAGCTCGGTATGTTGCTTACCTCATTAAATAGTGTATGATAGATAAGTCGGCTATTAAAGCCTCAATTCTTCACATGCCTTCATTCTCCAGAACCTCTGTGCTGCTAAAGGAATATAACCCCTGTCTTATCTCTGGTTAGCCTCAAGCAGCGGTTGTGTTCAATTTGTTATGGAGCTTGTTCTTTTTGGTGTGAAAATTGAACATACCTCAGGGAAGTCATGAGACATTGTATAGTGTACTGAATAGTGGTCACAAGATGATTGCTTGCACTGTAAAGCTTGTAAGTGCATTAATACAAGATTACTATGGAAACAAACATTTGCAGCAAAAGTATTTATGGCATGTGTTTACTGTGTACTAAAATATTCCCTACAATAAAACTATTTAGACCTCTTTTGTATACTGCATTTGAAAGGAAATATTTGAAGGGAAACAAACACTTCCTATTTAATAAAACGGAAGACCGTAGTAAAAAAAATAGTTACTAGGCCCTGGTGGAGCTTTCTAAAAGTTGTAATTTTTCTTTTCAATATACCATGTTTCCCTGAAAATAAGACACTGTCTTATATTTTTTGGGGGGCTCAAAAATACACTAGGTCTTATTTTTTTTAATGTGCAACAATCCACACTTATTCATGTACAAAAATATGGTGATCAGGGGTGCCGTACCTTTCCAAGAGAAATTTTCTAACCAATCGCTGGCCAGAATGAGCGAAGCGCGCTTTCACTATTGAATTCTCACAGGCGGAGTGCATTTGGTATCACTCCGCCTGTGACAGGAGGCGGCGCTATAGAGGAGGCATCGGCTTATGCGGCTCTGCTCCCTCCGCTGCCCCCTTGCTTCCTCTATCCCTGGCTTCGTTGGCACCGCTGATTCTCTCCCGCCTCTTCAAGTTCCCCCTTATGCCACCACCGGCCCTGGGAATGGTCACAACTAGGTCTTTATTTTTGGGGAAACAGGGTAGCTTATTAATGCAGCATGAAAGAGCTGGATGGTACTGGTAATATCTTCCTATAGCCTTTAACTTTGTTCAGAAAATGTTTTTTTCTCCCCTTAGTGCGACAGTCAACTTTGAGTTGTTTTCCTGCATTGCCACATTGGTTTATATATAAATGGACTGCTCTTCATCCAGAGCAGTACTGGAGAAACATTAAATGGCACGTTGTATCAACTCTTTGAGACGAACTCAAGGAAACAAATTCCTTGCCACCCCCCCCCCCCCCTACCCAGGGGGTA